GGACAAGAGGCGGCCATCCGCATTGTTTTTTGCACTGGGGACATTTAAATTGATAGATTTACCGTTTTTGTTTGTTTTACAGCAAGCCAAACTCCTTTGTTCTGAAGAGTGAAGCGGTCCTTTCACAAGATCAGTTAATGGGGAGGCTGTTTCAGTGCTGATAGTAGGCGAAATTTATTCAAAGTATGCTTGCATCTCTCAGTTATCTTCTGTTGTTCTCTCAACATTTTCCCAAGCTTTGCATCGATATGGCAAAATTCCACATCGTTCGCAGGCTCTGTTTTCTTTGATGGGTAGTCCTCCCGCTCTGCTTCACGAGACTCCAATATCTGTGAATTTCTTTTACATACGCCTGTGTTGCCTTCTTGAGACATTTTTTGCGTCTTACGCTATCAGATAATTAAGCAGATTCCGACTTGTACTTAAATCATTGATTGTGTGCATGCCCGGCTTTCGATATCGGATCCACCAGTTCTCGATGTCGTCCAGTGATTGTCCCGAAGTTGATGGCAGTCAAGCAGAGCGTCGATTTCTCGAATAGTTTCCTTCAACGACTTTTCCATGTCCGCTTATAAGAGTGTGGTCCTTGCCGGTTTTTCGCACCCATCGGGCGATGTCAAAACCACTATAAATTCCTTGGCGATTATGCCAGAGTTTGAGTTTTGTTACGCATACATATGCATGTGCAGCATTTGGAAATCTGTGCACAAAGCAAATTTTGCCTTGGAAGCAAATGTTCTGTATAATACACAGGTCTAAAACCTCCAATCAAATAATAAAAACGTGGTAACCGATTTTGACAGATGAGAAAGCTGATTGAAACGTTTAAAGTTGACTGTCTTCGGAGCTTCCCATTACAGTAATTTGCTAACGCATTATTGCTTTGACTACAAAGCAATTACACTAAAGCCGCAAATTCTAATTTTGGTTCAGAGAAAAGAGTTTTATTGTTATGAGAAGAAATAAATATGTTTAATTGTTTGCAGTTTAAGTTATATGTATGATAGCTATGTCACATTCCTACAAATGAATAGATTTCAAAAAACCCTGAATGGTGAGCTATCAATCGTAATCATCTGGAATGTTGAGGAAAGAGCCGATAGTTGGGAAATGGACTGCACTGAATCCATCTGTGCCCCCAACTGATGCTGCAGGTACAGCCCAGTGAGCACCCCAAGTAACCTGGAAGATAATTTTAGAATATCTCCTTTAACCACCTTCCACATGCTAGCGTGTAAAAAAAGAGAGCTTAAGGTATCTACCTGCCCGTTAAGCCAATCTGCTGTAACTGAACGGGGTTGATAGAAAAATTTATTGGCATGGTCCCGATTGTGAGGATCGTCAGGATTTGGTTCCCATAGACCTAATGATAATGATAATTTAAAACAAACATGCTTCCTTGAATTTCTCACTTGAAAGACTTACCCGGTTTAGTGAAGGGGCTGCGACTTCTTGGTCTATGAAGGACACCACCACTGTCTGTCAAACCATCAAACTTCTGGAATGAGTGTTTTCAGTTTTGTTTTGCAGCGAATATTAACCCGCACCTTGAATGTGTTGTCCTCTGCGCCATAAACGGCGTCTGAGTGCACTACTGGGAATGTGTTTGCTTGATGCACGCTGAAACCGATAAGTAGCGTGGTATCTAGCTGGGAGCGACAATAGTCGCTTACCGTGCTCGCGAAACAGTATGACGGCGATTTTCGTCCTCAGCGTTATCGCTTGCGCCAGAAACAAGCTTGGCTGGATCTCGGATTATTTTAACTGGCTCAGCGGTAAGCGAGTTAATTGCTCTAGGTTGATATAAAATACAATACGCATATTATGATCTGTTGTTTTTTATGAATAGAGAATGATTGCACTAAACTCAATTAGAAGTTATGAATAGTCTACTCAGTAGAAAAATCAGGACAGTTTCTCATCAATAAGCAACGTGTAACTATGAGCAAAAGTCACCCATTATTTATGTTTGAACAAAGTATCAATGCTTTTCGATTAATTTTTGGATAAGTTCCTTTTATTATATACAAGTTTTCCAAAGAATTAATTAATCAGCAATGCGCAGCCATTTGCAAAGATACACTTATACTTTTTGGTATCAGAGCTGTTCTCAAATACTCAAATGTCGGATAAACGCTTCTTCAAAAGTTTTACATTTAAGTAGTCAAATAAATATTTTTCCAAATAATTAGCAGTTCCAATAATTGTCTATTTGCTTTCTTTGAATATTCCGCTCTAATATTCGAATGTACCAGTTTCTCAAATTCTTCGCTCAGACACGTATATTTGATTCGACAGCCATCTATTCATTCGGAAATACTTCTAGTATGGTCAGCTCCAAAAGAATGTACAGTTTGAAATCAGCTTTGCACTATAACATTTTCTACTTATCTTTTGGAGCTAACCGCAATAAAAGATTTGGCCGGTGAATGTTCGGCTATTACAGATGGGACTGAGTACTGGTTTATTATAACCAATTGAATAATTAATTAAAGTATTTCAAAACTCGCGCATTCGCTCGACTGTAAAGCGAATGGAACATTCGACAGAAATGAGAAGTTCTTTTGAATTAAGGCCACTCAAACATCCTGAGCAGGCCTGAGCACAATCTGTCGCACAG